TTATTATATATATATATATATATATATATATATATATATATATATATATATATAGATAATATATACTATAATTATTATAATTTGATTAAAAAGCAGTTAATGTTTATGTTGCATTGGATATTTTATTTGAATTGAAAATTGCGAAAATTTGTTACTATTCGTGCGAGCAGTTCGATAAAATCTAAATGGCAATCAGTTCTATCTGATCATGTTTCGAACTGTGTTACAGCGCCAACTCTGACGATCAGCGACGATTCGGGACGTATAGTTTCCAAGGAAAGGCATCTGAAGGCTGGCAGTGTCCTCAGACTCAGGTGTGAGGCAAGAGACGTGCTCGAGTCGCTGAACGAATCTGTCGTTTGGACTAGAGGAGACGAGACGCTCACGGAGGATATTAGGTAAGTGCTTGGAACAAACTGTGTTGTCGCGAATTGCGACCGTTTATTTCCGATTTGAACGTGACCGTTTGCTATATAAGTTGTATTATTCAAAAAAAGTATTATTTATTCAAAAAAGTATTATTTATTCTATTCTTATTTATAGATAATTAGCATTAATTATATAAATAGTATTTTATTCCAAATATTGTAGTATACATATTTACATTCCGCCTGTAACATTAAATCCGAAAGAGTGTGCATAGACAGTCGTGAGTATTTTGTAATAATTATTTAAAAACCTATATAAATACAAATTTTTTGTCAAAAGTCTCTGACGAGTTTAGTACTTTTTGCACTTTAGCTTTCATATCCGATTATTGCAAAATATATCATACGTATGTACATGTCGAGTTTTGCTTGAGCTGATCATTTGAAGTGATACGAAGCGAATGCCTCAACTGATAATCTTGCAATTTTTATTTAATGAAAGTCGAAAAAATGACATCTTGGATGGATATTTTAATGCAAGATATATTTTCTTATTAAAAATATGTTATAGTTCTATTAAATAAACAAGTTTAGTTCCTTCTATACTCGAATAATTTTTCTTCGCATGAATAAAAATATGAGAAATAATGAGCGGTCCATAACTGGAAGCTCAATAGTATTATTGGCGAAAAATTTAAACTTGATAATATTATCTCGCAAATTTTTTGAATCGATTAACAAGACATGAGAATCGCGCAATCTCACGAGAAAAAGAAGGAACGACGTCTTGTACCTTTTCTTGAATTATTCTACTGCAATTCTGGCGTAAAACAGATTTTTAATTAAATTATCGAATCGCGACAAAAATGGAATATGTAAGTGCCTCGAGGTTTGCTTGAAATCTACATTCTCAAAAGAAACGAAGATTTTTTTTTTATTCCATTATTTCCTGGATCTGTCATTTTCTGTTTTCCGTTCTTTCTGAACAATAATTGAGATATATAAAAGAGTCTTACATAAGTATTATTTCCGTACGTGAATCGACAAAAGATCATATATTTTTAAGAATATATTTTAAAATGCATATTTATGAAAATTTAAAATGCATCTCATTTACATATAAGCGTATAGATTATATATGCATGATGTAGATATTTTTACTTATGTAATTTTGTAAAAATAACATATTGAGACATTTTTATACATATACTAAAAATAATAATCTTCATAGATTTTCTGTTAGAAACTCAGAGCAGTAAGGCGTTAAAAAGCACGCTTGGAATATAGGCGAATATTCACGCTCGGTGCAAACATGATCGTACCCCATTTTATACTTCTACAATTTCTTCCTCACATAAAAGTGAACATTTTTTTGTTTACTCAATAAACACTTCTATCGATAGTTTTCTGATGTCAAATTTAGAAAATTATGAAGAAGAAAAAAAAAATTATAACGAAGAAAAATATGAAGAAGTATATAGTCTGAAGTATATAGTCTGAACGATAGTATTGTTATAATATTATGATTTATCTTAAAGAAGGATTTCTAATTTTTCTTTTACGTAATATATTTTTGAAAAACAATTCTATAAATCTTTACTTATTTTTATGTATAAATAAATAAATTTTTAATTATATTTAGCGATAAAAATCAGACTATAAGACTTTAATGAACTTTTGGAATTGATTAATGTAAATATAAATTTTTATTTTTTGTGAATAAAAAAAATTAATATTTTTACTTAGTTTTTAAATATTTTTAAATAATGCCAGAAAACAAAGTTTTAGTCCATTATCTATTGATTATATTTGTTTATAAAGTATACAAAATTTAAATAACAATGCATTGATAATAAATTTATCGTCCGAATCGAGTTTCTTAATTAAAGTGGTAGGTAACGTCTGGTCGAAATTGACAACTGCAAGAAATTAGGAATTTCTGCATTCTATGTCCACTCAACGAAATCATTTCCATTTCTCTTCTTCGTAACTACTTGCCGATAACGTGAATATACAGGGTGTTCTGGAATTTTTTTTATAGTTATTTTCAATTTTGTACATTTACAGAAGTGATATTTGACATAAGATAATAATTTATAAGTAATAATAATTAAAAATTTACAAATTATAAAAAATTAATTTTTAAGAGAATAAATAGATATTGATTTATGTTTGAAATATAAAATTTTTAATTTAATTTATAAAAATATTCAATTTAAGATTTTTTTAATTAGATATAATAATGTTCAATATAATTCTAATTTGATTATTAGTACATGTAGTTTGTATTACGCTCATATTTAAATGGAATTGAATAATAAATCTTAATTTAAGAGTTGTGAAAAATGTGAAAAATATTCAAAAATAAGTTTCTTTTAGGTCTTTTAAGATAAGATGGCACCAAGTTAAATTTTTATTCTGTCAAATTCTGTCAAATTTTTATTCTGCCTTAGAAGTAGACTTTAGACTGGTCAAAGAATCCATAACTAAAAGAACACAAAGACATCCAGTGTATCCGTAACGCAGAGTTCCGTTTGTGTATCAACGCGGTACCAACGTGAACTGGACGGGGAAGAGAAAGGGAAGAGAAATGTGGACAGAAATTCATGGCTCGATCTCGTTTTCAGCGAGAATAGAACGACAGAGATCTCGGCGGGCAAGGAGGTCCTTGTGATCGTCAGTACCCTCATCGTGGAGAAAGCCAGCCCCAGGCACGCCGGGAACTATAGTTGCATGGTGCCGGGTAAAGCCAGGACCACCGTCGCGGTCCACGTTCTCAACGGTGAGTACGTCCTTTACGTGTGCACACGTGTGCCGTCTCGTTAAACTCTTTCCTTCTTACTCATTCTCAAAGGAAAGAGAAGATTCCGGCCAGTACGTCGTTACTTCTTCGTTACTATCAAAGCGAAACGAAGTTTCTCTATAGTCGGGAGACTTTGGATCAGAATGCTGTGGATTAACGATTTTCAAACTTGAATTGTCACGATCGAATGCTGGCCTCTTTCCATCTTCAGCTCGTTTCTGTGAACCTCTTCGCTTAGCGGTTTCCGTTTTCTGACAAAAGCGCGAAACGTCTAAACGTATAAAACTACATTCTTAAGCTCTAATGATTGCGTAAAGTATGTCAAATTTCACTGGAAATCGAAGTTACTTTGATATCCAAGAGTGACTTTGATTGTACGAAAGAGAGAGTATACATTTTCCTCATATGTCTATATAAAGTCTACGTATACTGTTGGAATTTATCTCGAAAATTGCGACGAACCGATCTGAATTCCATAGAGAGGTAAAATTTTTTGAGAAAATATTCTTTACTATTAACTCGCAACCTCTTTATTTATTGAATTTTTCAGCCAAAACCAAAGTAAACATAAAAATTCTGCTGTGAAATATTATGAATGTTTTTTATGATAATAATTAATACATTAAAAATTATTAAAGGTTTTTATGTATTCAAGGCACTTCAAAAGCATTGTGACCTGTATACATTTATAAAAAAATTACATCTCTTTCATATACTAAAATTAAACTGTTATTTATATTATATATTACATTATTATTAAATTATATTTTCAATAACAAAATTCAGCTTCAGGCGAAATCTGAAGTGCTTCCCAGGTATTTCTTACGTGATTAAGTCTTTATACGTGAATTTTTTTGTATCTTCATCGCTTTCTGCTTTTCACTGCCGAGGAGGCAGAGCAAGCTTTCACGACGAGTCTAGCAGTTACTTATCAAACTTGAATGGACCTGCTCGTCGCGTTAGGGACGGCGGGAATACGAAACAAGGTATAAATCGTGGGGGATTTGCACGGTGATTACTCACGGTTGAGCCGCGCGGGCACGTTTTTCGCTCGCCGCTATTTCCGGATACAGCACGCGCTAACCGCGCGCGACAAAACGCGTCGCGCCGCCACGACCGGGCCACCTTTCTCTCCCCCGGCAATGTAGAATGTTAATGTCGCTGTAGCTCTTCATTATATCGCACGACCCTCCGCCGGCATTTCCGAAAATTTGCGAGGACGCTTAATTTATTCCGCAGTCGGCCGCATTTGCGTGATAGGGAAATATTGTGCGTTTTATCATATGGCGCGCGCGCGCTCTGTGCGACTGTGCCGCCGGAAAACGCCGTTTTCTACGTCTCCATCTCCACCGTCTCCAGTTACGAAATTCGGAACGAAATGGATGTTCCGAGTGCTGTGTGACGCTTTTCGGAAAAACGTCTGATTTATCAACGTTCAGCAAATTTTCGCCTCGCGAAAAGCTTTTCTCTTCAGTTTTTCGCGATCTGAATAATGAACACCTCCAGAAACTCTGAAATAAGAAGTGTCGCAAGAGGACAATTATTTCATAAGTAATATTTTTTTGCGCTTTTCAATTCGCCGAGTCTGTTGTATCGCCGAGAACTAATATCGGAAATAAAAGATTCTCGGAAGAAAAGTATAAAGCGATATTAATAACGCAAGAGATTTCACCTCCTCTCGATAAAAGTCTCTTAAAAGACAAGAAAACTCCACTCGCGCGCATCTATGGCGATAAGACAAGTTATTAATTGTAAATTCGAGCCATTTGCAATACGTAACATAACTGAGCTATAAGACCGATGAAGAAATCCCTCGTAAAGCGTACGTCTTTTCCGAGGCGAACATCAGTAAGACGGGAAACTCCTCTTTATCCCGTAATGCGCTTAGTAGATGTACCGAAAACTAAGCGAGAAACTCGGAGGAGAGAGAAAATCGTGTTCTTTTGCGACATTATCCATTCAACTACTTGAGCATAATTCTCGCACGACGTCCAGATCGCACTCGATTGCATCAATTCTAAAGTGTTTAATCATATCGTGTCACGATATGTTGAAAAGATGAAAAACATATTGTCGAATCTGCGGCGTTCAGCTATACGAAGTTTACATTTCCACGATCGTTACTTGAATGAATTTATAATGAGAACAGACCAAATCTCGCGATACGGTTGTATTCAAATATTTTCTTGAGTTTTAGAAAATCTTGTTTGAACCGAAATCTTAAAGAATGCTATGTGATATATAAAATATAATCTTATAAGGATAACTGCACGTAATTGGATTCTTATCGAAGTTTTATTTCGAAATGAAAGAGTGATAACCTTTGAAGTTTTCTATAGAGACAAAATCCAGTAATAACGTTTGGGAAATATATCTTATATAAAAAGAAGAACGTCTTCTTACAGCTCGTTCTACGGTAAAAGATAGAAGGGCGTTGATCTCTAAAGCTTTTAGTCGTGAGCACCAAGAAAAACAGAAGCAGAGAAAACAACAGCGGATCTTACAATATTGATTAAACGTAATACATAGTAATACATAGTAAATATTTACAATAATAATATTTACAATAAAAGTATTATTCTTCAGAAAGTTATAATATAATTTTTACGGCGTTATTTCCAATAAACAATAAAATTTTTCATAAAAATGAAACCTAGAAGTGTTATTTTTGAAATGTGTCTTCACACGCATGATATACAAGAAAATCCGACAAAAAAAGCACCGAAAAAAATTGGAAAAGAATAAACAACTTACGGATTTTACACTTTTAGCCACGTAATACAAATAATGTTATAGAAGAATCATAATTTTATTTTTACAATACATTTTACTAAAAATAAAAAAACTGGATTGGCGTAGTTCTTAATCTGTAATTGCTGTAAAATAAAGATATAAATAAATTTACAAGAAAATTCTATTATATTTAATAAAAAAAAAAACTTTTATCATACTAAAAAATATATTAAAGAATATTTAATATAAAATATGAGAAACTAAAGAATGAGAAAATGAAGAATACGGAAAATTGTTATCGAAAATAATCATCGACACATTTTTAGCAAGATGCGAATTCTACTGAAAATTCGGTGCAATATTAAAGAAAAAAAATCAGCTCACGTATCTTTATCCGTAGGAAACAGAGGAAACGACGTTTCGTATTTGGCTGAATAGAATCAATGCAATTTTAGAAACGTTAAGCTAGGACAGTTCCGAGCTCGGGGAACGCTACGTCCGTTTTGATGTAGCTGACGGTGGCACAAATCTTTTGATACTTCGACAATGCACAATGTGCATTGTGCTGCTTTTCTCGACGATCCATAACGAAACTCGCACGTTTGCCAAGACAGCGAGAAAAAAAAAAACGGCGCGCCTTGCAAGGAAGGGCGATGTTTTCTCACCGGGATATCTGTATTCTCTCGGGACGAACAGACACCGATAAGGGAATAAGAGATAAGAAGAAATACGAAAGTAGCGTCTGCCTTCTCTCTCTCTTTACTGAACATAATGTGCGCTGCTTTTAACAGCTCGCCTTCATTCGGAAGCCAATTCTTCTCAAAAGTAAACTCAACACACAGGGAAATCTTAATCTTTCGCCTGTCATAATCCCAAAGATGCATCTTTGATCTTCTTCAGCCGTGTCATTGCTTCATTCCTCGCGAGTGCGCTTGTTTCTGTCGCAATAGTCGCTGCTTCAATCTCGCGAATTACGTTTCGTTGGGATTAATCTTTCGAAACCGTTTTAATCAGTGGCGTAAGATGAAGGGAAGTTGAAATAAAAAAATAAAAAAAAATCTTTTCATTCAGTCATCTATTATTACACGTTTATACAAATCATATCATATTTTTTATTGCATAAGAATAAAGATTGGTATTCTTGCATTCTTGCATTTGAAAGAAATGCAAAATTTTAAATAACTTTAGGAAACTTTGTAAAGTGAGATGTATAAGAAGTTCATGCTTTTCAATCTTGATTCATGTCATCTATAAATTTCGCAGAAGATCACGTCTCACGGAACATGGAATTTATGTATCGTTTTCCACCAGCATATCGAGTCAACTACAAAAGTATGAGTAGATATATTTTGATGTCGCTACCAGTCGCGTAGATTTTTTTTCGCTGATGTTCCGACAGCCATCGCGTGAATAACAAGGAAGCACAATGGCGTAAGATTAAACAACATCGTTTATCGCGTATAGGCGCGATCTTTATTCAACGTCGTCGTCCGCTGTTAGCAGCCTCGTATAGACGACGATAACGTCGACGACGACGATGACGACAACTGGGATGCACGTTTCGTGAAAATAGAAATGCCAGCAGCCTAATGTGACGGCGACATGGAAATGGGGGCGAACTGCAAGGACCGTGGGGTTGACGGGAGAAGCGACCAAAGGGGTTGGCACCGGGGAAGGCAGTGAATACACCTCGACGGAAAAGGAGCGCGCGTTATCGTGCGACCACTTTTTTCGTCCATTTGCGAGCTTTATTCCGAGCGACGGCAGCGACGGGCTCACGTCTGCTAAAGCGCGTCTAATGCTTCCTGACCCGAGGCTCACGTGCGCGGATAAGAACGGCGTTAACCTCGGACGAGCATAATAAGGCACTCGCGCAAGACGGACGACTTTGTGGCACGGAGGGTGGCCGCGATAGCGTCGCGACGCGATTTCGTCCCTGTGACGTTGGGCTTTTGCCATGAGCTTTCCGCGCGGCGAAGATTTTAGCACTTTCAATACCGAGACTATACGTATTCAAAAAGAAATCTGAACTTTTCATAAGTTTTTTTCTATACTTATAAAGGTTTAAAAGAATTCTGGGATATTCGAATTCGTAGACCAGTTTTGACCGAAAACTAGTTGATGAAATTTTAGGATTTTATTACGTATACGCGTGCACGCATACGAACAAAATCATAGGTAAAATCGTGGATTTATTATTATTAAAAAAGATATGTTAATTATAATATCATATTCCCTTTCTAAGA